TTTGCTTTTGCATCTCTGGCTCCGTGTAGTCTTTGGAAACCCCAGATGGAGTTGAGGCGCCAACTCCTAACGGTTAAGCAGCCAGGTTTGGTATAAAGCCAGACACTTGGGCTTTGGGGGGTGGGGGGGCGCCTTTTTGGCTCTCCGCCAGCTCGCAGCATTCAGCCAGCTCTCGGAGTGCCTTTGGGTTTCCTGGTCGGCGGATCCGGTAGGACGCATTAAACACTTTATTTCCCTATTTTCTCCCTGAGTTGTACATTTCTTCATTTCCCCTTCCCTTGTAAATAAACCTTTTTATTAACCTTTTGTGTGTGCCTGCAGTGGAGTATTAATAAGTCCCTTTTAAGTGCGCGGGTAAGGACCCACAGCCAGGCAACCCGTTTTTATATCGGGGCTGCTCAGTAACACTTCCTCCATTTTAAGTTGAATTCTTTGTCTTTGTTGTTGGAATATAGGAACTTTCTTTCTTTCTTTCGTTTAAAGATTTATTTATTTATTTATACAAGCACTGGGTACAGTCAGAAGCGCGGGAGGGTGAGAGAATTCACCAGAGCCAGAGAGGGGAGCAGAGCAGGCAGAAGGACCGAAGGACACTGCTGAGGGGAGCAGTGGGCTGCAGGAGAGGTCTGCGCGCCATGTGGGACCCTCACTGGCTGGCTGGGGATCGAACCTGCGCTACAGAGGCTGTGGACAGCTTCACAGAGCTGTGCTCAACCCCCTGCGCCACTGGGGAGGCCCTCTTCACATTCTTGATGGAGTCTTATGAAGCTCAATAATCTTCAGTTTTGTTGCTATCCACCAAGAATTTTTAATTGTGGGCCTCCCCAGTTCTTGTATAAATAAATAAATAAATCTTTTTAAAAAAGTGTTAAAAAAAGAATTTTTAACTGTTTCAATTCTTTAATTTACATCTTTGATTCATTGTCAGTTCTGTATATGCTGTGAGGCAGGGATCCACATTCATTCTTTTGCTTATGAATATGTAGTTGTCCCACTGTCTTTTGGCAAGGTGATTTTTTCTATGCACATTGAAGTGTTGTCATACTAGTCAAAATTAATTAACCATAACTATATGGGTTTATTTCTGGACTTTATGAAATTTCATTGGTCTATATATATATCCTTATGCTAGTACTTCATAGTGTTGATTATTGTAGTGATTTAGTATATGTTGAAATTGCAATTTGTGAGCCCAGCAACTTTGATCTTCTTTTTTCAAGATGGCTTTGGCTATTGTGGATCCCTTGCATTTCCCTCCAGCGCTTATATTTCCAGATGAATTTTAGGATAAAGTTACGAATGTTTGTAAAAAGAAAGCAAACACCAAAAACAATTACAAAAACAGATGAATCTGTACAATCTGGGAAATATTCCCAGCATAGTAAAATTAAATCTAACCGTATCTGAACACAGAATGTCTTTTCCATGTATTTAGGTGAGCTTAATTTATTTCAAAGGTGTTTTGCAGATTTCAACATACCAGTCTTATGCTGTTTTGTTAATTTAATTCCTTAACATTTTACTATTTTTGATGCTATTGTAAATGATAATTTCCTTCTTTTCATCTTCAGATTGTTCATTGCTGGTCTTTACATATACAACTGAATTTTACTTATTGGTCTTATATTCTGCAATCATGTTGAACTCCTTGATTAGTGCTAAAGTTTTTTTGTATGTGGATTTCTTAAAATTTTCAATATACCCAAAGCTACAGCGATAGTGACTAAAGACATGGAAGTGAGGGGTCTTTGTTAAAGCTGATCAATTGTACCCAGATGCAAAGGCTATCATTTCCATTAAGTATTTTACTGACTGTGTTATTGTCCTGTTAACACTGTCAAACAAAGAAGGTGTATTTTGCTAAGTTAGATAAAAATTAAGTTGTCTTTTCTTTATGTGATAGTATTCCCATTAAAAACATCCTCTAGAACTGTCAGTATTTCACTATTTCACTAAAGTATGCCTAAATTTAAGAAAAATGTTCTGAATTACTTTCACTTTGAATAATTTGAATTTATCTTTTTTATTGCTGTTTCTGCACTAAAACATTTTATTTTTTACAGTAAAGCATTTTTAATGAAATGCTTTAGCTATTAGATTTATTTATTTTTTTATTTATTTATTTATTTATTTATTTATTTTTAAATAATGAAGTTTGAGGCCATAGAGCTTCTTCTTCTTCTTCTTCTTCTTCTTCTTCTTTTTTTTTTTTTTAAGATTTATTTATTTATACAAGCACTGGATACAGTCAGAAGGGCTGGAGGGTGAGAGAATTCACCAGAGACAGCGGGGAACAGAACAGGCAGAGTGATGAAATACACTGCTGAGGGGAGCAGTGAGGGCGGCAGAAGAGGTCTTCGCGCCATGTGGGACCCTTGCCCTGCAGCCGGGGACCGGACTGAACCCAACCGGTGCTGCAGAGGCTGAGGGCAGCTTCGCAGCCCAGCTCCAAACCGCTGCTCCACCGGGGAGTCCCAGCTATTAGATTTAAAGCTAGCTATACATATTTATACTTGTTACACTAAAACAATGCAGAGTAATTAACCCTTTGGCTTGGATGCTTTGTGTCCATTAGTTATCATATGTAAGCCTTCAAGATAAGTAAGAAAAAAATTAAGTCACATTGATTCTGAATGGTAACAAATGAGTTTCTCAATATTTTAATGTTAATATTTAAAGTAAGAGGTATATGAGATATTTTTTGATTTTGAGAGATGATGTTTCATGGATTCCAGCTAAATGCAGAAAGAAAATCCTGTTAATTGCCTTTATTGGTTTAGATAATCACCTTTAATATCAGGAATGCATTTAATGTTCAAGCAGTTCAGGTCTGGAACACACACGAAGACCTGTTACACTTATGACAAAACAGAATTTTTCTCTACATTGAGGTCAGTTTTTTTGGATCAAATTTCTAAATTTTTTAAAAAGATATTCAGTATGCAAAATTGTGTTATCTGTAAACCAGTTTTTACTTTTTCTTTCAAATCTGTAAGTCCTTCATTTCCCTTTCTTACTTAATCTCCCTGACTATAGAATCTTCAGTATGGTGTTGACTAATCTTTTACCATGGAGTTTTCATATATGAGCTTTTCATATATGTTCTTTTTTTTTTTCAAGATTTATTTATTTATACAAGCCCTGGGTACAGTCAAAAGTGCGGGAGGGTGAGAAAATTCACCAGAGCCAGAGCAGGGAGCAGAACAGGCAGAAGGACGGAAGAACACTGCTGAGGGGAGCAGCGGGCGGCAGGAGAGGTCTGTGTCCCATGTGGAACCCTTGCCTTATCAGGTGGAAGAAAGTGACCTTGTATTCCTTTTTTGCTGTATGTCTTTTGATGAAAAGATGTTGGATTTTGAGAAATGCTTTTTGTCTATTGAGATGTCATTTGGTCTTGGTTTTATTGATACAGTGTATTTCATTGATTAATTTAGAAATATTGAGCCTCTCTTGCATTCCTGAGATAAATTCAACTTGTTCATGGTCTAGAAACCATTTTCTAATGTCACTGGTTTCAGTTTTAATATTTTGTTGAGTAATTTAGTGCCACTATTAACCAGGGATATTGGTCTCTCGTTTTCTGTGATATATTTAATTATCAGAGTAATAGCGACTTTGTAGAATGAGTTGGAAAGTAATCCCTCTTCTACTCTATAAAAAGCTTGGAAAGATTAGTGCTAGTTCTTTTTTAAACATTTGATAGAATTCACCAGTAAAGACATCTGTCCCTGAGGCATTTCTCTGTGGAAAGGATTAGATTGCTAATTCATACTTTTTAGTTGTCATAGCTTGACATATTTTCTGTTTCTCCTTGGAAATTATTGGTCGTTGGTGTCATTTAAATTATCTATTTTATCTGGGTTATCTAATTTGCTAGCATATAATTAATTACTCATAATTTTTTATGTCTTTTATATCTTAAGGTTGGTAGTAATGTCCCCTTTCATTCCTTAGTTGAGTAATTTGTGCCTTTTCTTATTTTCTTGGTTAGTGTAGCTGAAAGTTTTTTCATTTTGGTTAGTCTAGTCAATAAGCAAGGTTTTATCTTCTGTTCTTTATTTTGTTAATAACTTTACTTCCTTCTACTTGCTTTGGTTTTTAATTAGCTCTTTTTCTAGTTTCATAAGATAGAAGCTTAAGGTCTCCCTGGTGGCACAGGGGTTAAAGTCTCAACACTATCAAGCTATCTCCAGCCACTGCAGCTAGATTTTGATCCCCAGCCAGGGGGCAGACCCACATGGCACAGCAGACCTCTCCTGTCGCTCCCACTTCTCCCCTCAGCAGTGTATTTCTGTAGACCTGCCTGTTCTGTTCCCCACTCTGTCTCCCCACACACACCTCCAGCTTAGACCCCAGTTATGCATGCATGCATGCATAAATAAATAAATCTAAAAAATGGATAGAAGGTTAAGGTATTGAATTGGGATCTTTTTACTTTATTAATGTGGCATTTACATTTGTCAGTCTCCTAGGCACTGCTGTTGCATCACATGAGTGTTGGTGTGTTGGCTTTCATTTTCATTCATCTCAAACTGTTTTCTGCTCTCTAATACAATCTGTGGATTATTTAGGAGTATGCTGTTTAAGTTGCACTTTCGTCTTGTCTTCTGAGAGTCCCATTATACATAACGTGTATATGTAATGGTGCCCCACGTGTCTCTGGAACTCTGTCTCTCTTCATTCATTCTTTTTGTTCTTTTCAAGACAGAGTCTTGGGCTATCACTCTCTCCCTTCTTTCTACTGCCTTAAATCAGGGCATTATTCCTACTGTCTCTCTCGCCCCCTTCTGTAACAAGCTCAGTGGGAAACATGAGTAATGTCACGGTTTCCTTCCCGTGTCCTGGACCCTGACCCTGTGTTACTTTCATTTCCGAGTTTAGCAGTCAGAGTTCACTTCCTTGCTGTGGCTGCAGGAAGTGGCGAGTGCAGAGGCACTGACACGGAGTATGAGGCTGTGCTGAGTGGGCCTGGTAGCGAACGAAGCCAGGCCAAGGTTTGTCTCTGTGTGTGTGTGTGTGTGTGTGTGTGTGTGTGTGTGTGTGAGAGAGAGAGAGAGAGAGAGAGAGAGAGAGAGAGATGGGGTGGCAGTGGGTGAGCCCCTGACACTTTGAAAATGGTCAGGATTTTGCTTTCTAGCTCTTGCCCTGGCTGCTTTCTCTTTCACAGACTCCATGCTGCATCTCAGAAGGTCCAGGGTGTGAGGTGAGTGAAGGTCCTGTGCCCTGGGTGCCAGAGGCGGGAGGCCCTTCTCTTTGAGAGTGCAGAACACCTGGGAGAGAGGAGCCTTATCCTTTGGGAGAAATCACCTCCCTTGGAATAGAATCTCAAGGAGAAGTTCTCTGTGGCTAGAGAAAGCTGTTCTCATTACCGGAGGGAAACAGCCTAATCAGCAACTTCAGTTGAATCCCAGGTCTCAATACAGAGACTGCAAAGGACAGGTCACTGGAGTTTCTTCGGACTGCAGGCTCTGGCCACACAGACCAGCAGTGAGAGAGGTGGGGTCAGGGCTAGTTTGCAGAAGCTGCTGCAGCATGGCCAGAAGGGAGGGTCTTTGCTTCTGGTCTCTTCCCCTCCCTCTCTGCCTGCCAGGTCCACACTGACCTTCTCCTGGGAGACAAGTCCTGGCTTGAAGAAGAGACAGTGGCCTTGGTGGATCTCTGGGGGTCTGCTTCCAGGCCAACCCCCTTTTTTCCAAGTTCTTTCCAGATCTCTTTACCTCAGCACAGAGAGCCTGACGGCACACACTGATTCTTCCTGTTGCCTGGTGGATTTCTGTTACCATCCTGGTAGAACTGCCATGAAATTTTATTAGCTGGTGTGTTTTGTTCTTTGGTGTGGGAATGGGTATAGAGAAAGTGTGGGGTGGGGGGGTTAGTAGAGTCAAATGTGATTGTCTCAGTAGAATCCTTCAAGGATCCACCAATTCCTGAGTGTTATTAACAAAGAGTAAAGTGGCACCAATTGTTCTTGATCCTCATTGGACATGGAAAGAATTTTGCTCTCCCTCACTGAGTTCTCTCTGTGTTGATCCAACTTTTGTGAGTTAAACCTGTCTTGCTTCTGTGTCTCTCTTAATACTTGGTTCAAAAAGACTTTCAGTGATGGAATATTCTAGACTGGGGGCACCAGGTAGCCATAGGCATATCTAGATATTAAGCAATCGGCACAGGTAGTGGGACCGAGAAACTCAATACTCCTTTCAATTTTCATTAATTTAAGTTTTGGCGGCCATATGTGATAGTTATCACAGTGACATGGTATCATGTTCCAAATGCAAATCCATTGCTTTTCTAGACAGATTTCCAGACCTGTGAAGGGACAGAAGCCCAGCTTACTTGTATGTCCTTCACTGTGGAAAATTCTGTCTACTTCATCTCTGCCTCTAACCTGATATTGGAGCTTTTCAAGAAGGGCCATGGCCTCAGCCACAGCTACCCAGAAGATGAGGGAGGAAGCCACGTGCTCCATCTGCTTGGAGCTCATGATGGAGCCCGTGAGCATCAACTGTGGGCACAGCTTCTGCCGCCAGTGCATAGAAAGCATCCTTGAGAACCCACGAGTGACATCATCCCCAAGGGAGTCCCAATGTCCCCTGTGCCGGGCACCATTTCAAAGGGAGAGTCTCCGATCCATCAAGCAGCTGGAAAACCTCATTCAGACTGTTAGGGAGATAGACAGTGAGAGGCAATGTGATGAACATGGGGAGAAGCTCCGCCTGTTCTGTGAGGACGATGGGCAGCTCATCTGCTGGCTCTGTGAGCGCTCCCCCCAGCACAGAGGACACAGCACGGCTCTTGTGGACGACGCAGGCCCAGAATACAAGGTGAGTGGGCAGGATGAGGGCTTGAGCAAGTACTTGCTCTCGTGTTGAACTCGCAGGCCTGAGGTTTTTTACTCTGAAACCAGAGATTATGATCTTGAAACAAGACTTTCATCATGTCATTTTTCTGACAAATGGCTTACAATGATCCCCCAAGAAATAAATCATAACCATCCTGACATTTAGTGGATGTTCAAATTGCTGTAATGATCCCCTGCTGTAGAATACAGTGTGCCCAATCCACACCAGCCTGTTTTAACTTCACATGTTTGTATAATTGGAGAAACCACAATGTGTGGGGCCATGTGACAGAATCTGAAAACATGGACAGATACACCACCTTTTAGGGATCTTGCAGTCAGTAGGGTAAAGGAATCAGCAAAACAAGAATGCTGGTGTCCCCTTGATTTGGGTGGTGAGTAGGGCCCAGTTTTTGCTCAATGATATATGGGAGAGCATCTGGAAGACTTATATAGAAGCTTGGAGACAGTTCTCATGTAGATGGTTATTATCTTGTTCCTTGTGTAGCATTTCCCTGGCAGAACTGTGGTTTTAGGTCAAGTGACTCTGGGTCATCAGCTGAGCTGGGAATCACAACTCAGCCACCTACCAGCGATGGCCGCTGGTACATGTTACTTAACCCCTTCCTAAACCTCAAATTCTACAGCACAGAAATGACAGTACAAATCCTCCCAACTGGGCAGGTTTACCACGGGATCAGATATGTTACTGCACAGACAGTCTCTGGGTGTTTGTTCTGTAAGTGCAAGGATTCAACAATATTTAATATTATTGTAATAGTGATGGAGGGTGGGGATTCCACGTAGGAGCCTATTAAAGATTTCTCAAGTTGACTATATTTTTTTCACCCAAAATTGATCAGGGAAAGCTCCAGAAAGTTGTAAAATTCCTGCGGTTTTTAGAAGCCCGATGTCAGGGTGCGAAGTTGACCATAACAGCACAAATAAGCAAGTGGGAGGTAAGAATTTGAGTTGATTTATCTCATACGATTTTCCATCCTAGAGCTTAGACAGAGGGGATGGTTGGGCAAATCACAATAATGGCTTATTCTCACTAAACCAGAAAAAGAAGGGAAATGCCAGAGAGGATCCCTCTTTGTTTCTCTTTCCCTAGTGTCTATGTCTATGTGTGTTTATCTTCCATTTTTTCAACTCAGAATAATTGACTAGGATGCCCAATAGGTTAGTCTAGAGAAGAAGAATTTTTATCTTTTTCCAATGGTACCATTTTAGACTGGGTTTCAAGTTGTAAATACCTTGAAGTTTACTTTTTTTTAAAAAAAGATTGAATTATTTATTTATGCAAGCACTGGGTATAGTCAGAAGCGTGGGAGGGTGAGAGAATTCACCAGAGCCAGAGCGGGGAACAGAACAGGCAGATGTACTGAAATACACTGCTGAAGGGAGCAGCGGTGGCAAGAGAGGTCTGCACACCATGTGGGACCCTCGCCGGTGGCCGGGGATTGAACTGGCACTGCAGAGGCTGCGGGCAGCTTCGCAGCCCAGGGCACAACCACTGCGCCACCAGGGGAGGCCCTGAAGTTTCCTTTTTTATACAACTTGCTGGTGGACTACCATATCGCATACAACACGTAACCATATCACACTGGCACACTTAGCACAGTGCAGGGTCTGGCATTCAAATTTTCAAGTTCTAAAACTATCCTTTGTGAGCACTGAAAAAGGGTCACTCCAGGTGAGATTATGCTACTCAACTCATGAGGTTGGTGATGAGGATGGAGCTGCAGCAAGATCATACGCAGATCCACTGCAGACTGTGGGTCTCTAAGTCTGTTTCCGTACCTGAGCAGGATCAGAGCCCACACCTTCATGGACAAACTGATGGAATCCATCACTTTACAGTTAATTCTGCAGACCAGTGAGTCATTCTGCCTCTCCCAGGGCTCTCTTCCAGCCTCTGTCCTGATCTTTTGTGTGTGGATGTTAAACTTGAGCTTTCAAAGGACAGCCATACTTCCCTCATTTCTTGGATCTCAGGTAGTGAAGGGACTTCCATTGTTGCAAACATTTAGAGAAACCATGTCAATGCAACAGTTTGAGGTGTCCCTCACAAAATTTCCATTTCATCCTAATCAATGACCCTTTCCCACAACATCACAATCGTAAAATACTGCATGAATTTAGAAAGCACCAAAGGAAATTGCTCCTCTCTGTCTCCCAAATGAAAAGTGGGTCCCACAAGAGAGATCTCTTGGTTCCTGTCAGTCTTACACATAAGGATGTTTCTGGTGTCTCTCACTGAAACTTGCTGCCTCGACCTCTCTCTGCTGAGTGCCATGTTGTCATAATGTCCAGTCGTGGTTATGTTCATTACAAGTTTTGCTTGACAAAAATTGCTCAGGGACAGATATTCTTTCTTATATTCCAAATGAAAACTCAGCATCTGACCTCGGCCCTAGTTTCATAATGACTATTGCAAGCATTCAGTACTTCCTTCTCTTGTGTTGTGGCTAAAGATGGAAAATAATCACACAACTAGAGCTTGACGACAGTCCCTCCCACACCTACTGCCTGTGCCAGGTATGACTGAGCAGGAACGTGGGACATTTTCCCACCGCAAGTGCTCATGGGAAAACAATGTCACAATAGCTAAGTAAATTCTTTTTTTTGTGTGTGTGTTTTATTTTTTTTTTTTTTTTAAATTTTTTTTTTTTTTTTAAACATTTATTTATTTATTTATTTATACAAGCACTGGGTACAGTCAGAAGCGTGGGAGGGTGAGAGAATTCACCAGAGCCAGAGCGGGGAGCAGAGCAGGCAGAAGGACCAAAGTACACTGCTGAGGGGAGCAGCGGGCGGCAGGAGAGGTCTGCGCGCCATGTGGGACCCTCCTTCGGTAACCGGGATCAACCGGCGCTGCAGAGGCTGCAGTCAGCTTCGCAACCCAGCGCACAACCGTTGTGCCACCGGGAGGCCCTATGTGTGTGTGTTTTAAAATAAACATAAAATTTATACTTTACATTAACTACTTTCTCATTGTTGTCCAGTCATGGCCACTTTCCCTCTGCAGAGTTGTGAGATCCTTCTAGCCTGAAATCTCGCCCCACTAAGCAATAACTCCCCACTGCCCACTCCTTGTAACTGGAACCATCATTCTTCTTTCTGTGTCTAAATTTGATTAGGCTCCTTCTATAAGGATAATCATAAAATTATCCTCCTTTTGTTTCTGACTGACTTCACTGATCATGTCCTCGACAATCACCAACATTGTAGCATATATCAGAATTTCTCCCCTTCTCAGATTTCAATAGCTTTCCATGATATGTATGTACCATGTCTGTTCTCATTTCATTTAAATGACATTTGGTTTATTTCTAGATTTTGAGCACACTTTCTTGCTTCTAGGAGAAGATGGAGCTTCAGAGACAAAAAATCCAGTCTGATTTCAAGAATCTCTACAAGTTTCTCCGTGAAGAGGAAAAGGCATTTCTGTGGAGACTGGAGAAGGAAAAAGAACAGACTCTGAGGAGTCTGCAGGATGATAAAGCCAGTCTGGAAAAGCAGAGCCTTGAAATCAAGAACCGCATCCTGGAATTAGAGAAGAAATGTCAGCTGTCAGCCCAGGATTTGCTGCAGGTGAGGCTGTGCAGGGGCAGATGTCCAGGAGGTGTCTGTTGCTGAGCCCCTGAGAGCAGCCCCCGGAGGTAGCGGGAGATGAGCAAGGCCTACCTGTTCACTACAGGGTGATACATTGCTGTGGGGAACATAAAGTAGTGTTTCTTTTAAGTACACATCAGTATCTGCAAGGTGGCTTCCAGTAATCTATAGGGTGCCTTTATGTGAATCAAAAGTAGGCTCCTATTGGGCATATATGATGGGTTCCTGTCCACTGGAACCATGGAATTATTTTTACTACCCTCTCCTGTCCCATGGGCACAGAACCTTGTCAGACTGTCTCCTGAAACACTCCACGTGACTGTGGGTATAAAAGTGGGGCAGCAAAAACGTATGCTAAATTTCTTTGTTTACTTATAGATCACATGTTCCAGGAGCTCTCCATGGCCTTCTTTCAGCTGTAGGAGAGATACAGTCCATTAAGAAAATGCCTGGAGGGCCTCCCCCGTGGCACAGTGGTTGAGCGCTGGGTTGCGAAGCTGCCCATAGCCTCTGCAGCGCCAGTTTGATCCCCGACTGCTCCCCGGCCACTGGAGGAGGGTCCCACATGGCGCGCAGACCTCTCCTGCCGCCCGCTGCTCCCCTCAGCAGTGTACTTTGGTCCTTCTGCCTGCTCTGCTCCCCACTCTGGCTCTGGTGAATTCTCTCACCCTCCCGCGCTTCTGACTGTACCCAGTGCTTGTATAAATAAATAAATAAATAAATAAAGATAAATCTTTAAAAAAAAAAAAAAGAAAATGCCTGGAGCAGTTTTCTAGCTCCCACTTGGAGCTGTGGTTAAACTGTGAGGCTGAGAATGTCACAGTCCTGCTCCGCTAACATGGGGCTCCTGCTGCCACCACCTTAGTGTCTCATCGCAGCAGCTCTGCGTGGGCTTCCCACTGAGGACCAGAAGCAAGCTCTAATATGGAGTCCTCTGAATGAAATTAGTCTCTGAAAGCAGGTCTTGCCAGAGGCACATAGGAAGTTCCTAGCCGTTCTCTCCCAGCAGTCCACAGGCTGATGTGATCACAGGCAACAGCAAGAAAGTTAACAGCATCACAGGGTGATAAACTTAATGCCATGCTGCCCATCCTAGGGCACTGGATGGGTATCTTACCTGGGATGTCTAAGCCTGGGTCACTCTCTTCACATCTTTGGAAGGAGTGTTTATAAAGGTAGCCCCATGTGCCAAGCCCAAGCTCATGTTTGTCTTTGTTTGTCCCTAGGATGTGAAAAACACCTTGAATAGGTAAGTGCTGTACGAGTATAGTGAGGAAGAGGTGGGAGTAAGTAAAGCTTCATGGAATGTCCACCAAAGTCTCTGTCTTCTGTTGATTCTAGGAGTTCAGGTGTGACGCTGGATTTACCAGAGGCCATCTCTATGGAGCCTAACACTGTGTGCAATGTTTCTGAGCTTTACTTAAATGTGAAGAAAATGTTAAAGAGCTACCAAGGTATGGAAAGCATGGGGATCCCCTAAATACTAAGGATGAAGACCAGTGTCAGATATATAATGTTTATTGCTAATAGTGCAGTCAAGTCTGAGAATAATGGAAGAGAGGTAGGTGAGGATACTTGGCTGAGATGCAGATATTTTTAGGGCCTTGACCCAGCCAGCATGGTGAATGTTAGAATCATAAGGAAAACCATGTTTTATCAATTGCAAATCTGGTTTCCTCCCCATAATCTCTTAATCAGTGCTTGCTGTATTTCCATCACCTCTTTTTTTTTTTAAAGCTTTATTTATTTATTTATTTATTTATTTATTTATTTATTTATTTATATAAGCACTGGGTACAGTCAGAAGCGCGGGAGGGTGAGAGATTTCACCAGAGCCAGAGCGGGGAGCAGAACAGGCAGAAGGACTGAAGTACACTTCTGAGGGGAGCAGCGGGTGGCAGGAGAGGTCTGTGCGCCATGCGGGACCCTTCTCCAATGGCCGGGGAGCAGCTGGGGATCGAACCAGCGCTGCAGAGGCTGCGGGCAGCTTCGCAACCCAGCGCTCAACCGCTGCACCACCAGGCCCTATTTCCATCACCTCTATCCACAGTTACAAAATTCAAATGCTTTGACAAATAAATACTTTCCATAATTCACTTTTTCACAAATCAAATCTAATTGGACATGATTTGGTGACTTCTAGTTATCTACTGCTACAAAAATATTTAGTGGCTTGAAGCAAAAACCACATTTTATCTTTTAGTATCGTTTATCATAAATCTGGGCCCAGCTCAGGTGGGGTCCCACAGTTATGGGCTCGCCTGGTGCTTCAATTGGGGAATAATCTTCCAGTTGGTGTCAGATTTCATTTCTTCATGGTTACAGAATTTAGGTCCTGACTTCTTACCAGCTGTTGTCTAGAAGTGCCCTCAGCTTCTGGAAGTCACTGCGCATCACTTTGCCCATGGGCCTCCCAACTTGGCCAATTGTTTTTTCCAAGGGAGCTCAGTAGAGAGAGTCTCTCAAGTAAGGCAGCTAATAAGATGGAGTCACATAGTGAAATATAACCATGGGGTCACATTCTGTTATTTTTGCCAGTGGCCAGAGGTGATTGATCAGAGGCAGTTCTCAAGTTAAGCCCAAAGTCAAATGGATTTTACAACGTGAAAATGAGGCGGCAGAGAACATGCAAGCTGTTCTTAAGTCCTCCTTCCACTGTGACCAGACCTAAATTTCCCTCATGTGACTCTATTTAGCATCTTTGTTAAGCCTTCTTGCTACAGGAAGTGTTGATGAATTTGCTACAGGGACAAGGCTGCTGTAGCCCCTGCTGAGGGTGGGCACATCATTTAGAGTGTGTTATTATTCTGTCTTTGTGATGTGAAAAATAATATGAAATTTAATATTTGGCCCCAGGGTTTTTGGATAAAGGATTGTGGAACATAGAGATTCCCCCAAGTTTGTATAAACCTAACTATCAAAAAAGTATCTCTGAATTTGACTCTATGAAGATGCAATTTTTAAAAATCTATATTCATTCCAATTTTGCCTTCTCTTTTACTCCTCGGATGAAACCTGTGAGATGTATGTCTATTTCTTTAAATCTTTTCAAAGCAGTGACTTTCGTTCCTCTCTGGTTGTATTTTCTTATTTCATTGATTATTGTTTAATTTGTATTTTTTCTTATTAAAATTTTTTCATTTTGTTTCTCTGTTGTTTTACTAATTTAAGTTTCATAGGTAGTGTAGTAGCTTTTAGATGTAAATGTTCTAAATTTTCCTGAAAATTCACCCTTAGTTTCATTATGTAATTTTTTAAATGTAGCTTTTTATTATTGTTCAATTGTGTGTATATATATATATATATTCATATTATGATATAGAAACATTTTTATTTCCTAAATTGTTCTATTACTCATTTCTAACCTAATTGTTGTATATTCATAAGCCCTGGAGTGAACTCTTACTCTACTTTTTTCCATCGACTGAAGCAAATTAGTCAAAGAGAAGGGAGCCTGGTTAATGTGTCCACAGGGGTCAGCCTTCCTGGAAACAGAGCAGTGGGGACAAGGTTGGGAGTGATCTAAGGGGGGTAAAGAGAGCCCCCAGGGCAGGAAGTGTCCCTGCATAGTTGGTTTCTCTTACTGCTGCAGTCCAGATGATCAGTGTTTAATCCAGTAACACAGCGGGTGGTTAACTCTGTTGCTAGAATTTCATTACCTCTATTCATTTTTAATATTGCACTGCTGGATACTATCACATATGTTTATCATGGCTTCTATTTTACTTGACTCTAGTCAGATAATTGTCATGTGTATTAGTATTCAGTTGATTTCCTTACGCTACTCCCTAGGGAACATTATATGAAGCAAGACTGAAGAGCTCACACTTACAGCCATGGCGATAGCTGTGTCCTGAGACCTGGGGAAATCCTGGGACCTCAGTAACAAGCTATGACATTTGTTGTGTTATTTTGCTTTCTGATCCCTGGTGTGGGTGCTTGTTAGTGAACACGGGAAGGGCTTGTCTGCTGTAATCTCCACGATTCCTCATTATCCTGCCTGGGAGAGCAAGGGCTTTGGGGAGGACAGTGTCTGTGTCCACTCTGGGTAATTCTGGTTCTTGGATTCTCTGAGAGATGAAGATGGTTATGGTGATGAAGTTGATGATACGGGGATATTTATTTATTTATTTATTTATTTATTTATTTATTTTAAAGATTTATTTTATTTATACAAGAGCCAGGGACAGTCCAGATGCGCGGAAGGGTAAGAGGATTCACCAGAGACAGAGTGGGGGAACAGAACAGGCATACTGACGAAATACACTGCTGAGGGGAGCAGCGGGTGAGACAGGAGAGGGCTGCCTCACCATGTGGGATTCTCACCAGCCGGCCGGGATTGAACCCGCGCTGCAGAGGCTGTGGACAGCTTCACAGTGCTGTGCTCAACCGCCTGCACCACCAGGGAGGCCCGAGGATATTTATTTTTATTATGACTTACTGGTTAATATATTCCAAGTCCTATTCCAAGAACTGAGCATATATTAATACACTCAGATATCCTTGTCACCATTCTTTCTGACAGATGTGATTTCTACTTTATTTTTAAGAAGCTGAGGCTCAGAGAAGGACTCAGAGTTAGTAGAGAACAAAGTTTGCATTTAATCACAGGCTGATTAAATTTAAGGTAAATTGTTGTCAGCATGAAAATGTCTTTTTTGATTTTTGTTTGTTTTATTTTGCAGTCAGCGTGACCCTGGATCCAGACACAGCTCATGAAGACCTTGTTGTGTCTGAGAATCGGAGACAAGTGACTCGTACAGGCCCCCAGACGAAGGGTAACACTTCTGGGAGATTTAGTGTCTTCCGCTGTGTCCTGGGCTGTGAGGGCTTCACCATAGGAAGATATTACTTTGAAGTGGATGTAGGAGAAGGAACTGGGTGCGATTTAGGAGTTTGCCTGCAAAATGTGCCAAGAGGTCTTCTCATGAGGCTGAAGCCTGAATCTGGATTCTGGGCCATCAGGATATGCAAAATAAATGGGTACATGGCCCTTACCTCTCCACCAACCATCACTTCCTCTGAGCGAGCAGCCTCGGGTTGTGGGAGTTTTTCTGGATTGTGTGGCCGGACTTGTCTCTTTTTACAACATGGCAACTGGCTCCCACATCTTCACCTTCCCAAAGGCCTCATTCTCTGAACTCTCCGACCCTTTTTCCGGGTTTATCAGCCATCTCCTTTATTCCTGCCTCCACCAGATGAGTAAAGAAAGGAATAAATAAAGTCTTCTTTGTTTAGCCATCATCATAGGGAATATAATAAAAATCCTGTGAAGTCAGAAATTTCATCTTTTTTTTTTTTTCACTGTTATTTCCTGTACCTAGAATAGTGCTGATCTCTCAGTGAGTACTCATAAATCTGCATTGAATGAATGGGTATAAGAACTAAAAATGCTATAGATGATCAGCCTTCCCTGGGGAAAAACAAGATAATAGCACTGATCATCCATCCTCCTCTCCAGTCCTCTTCAGTGGGTCATATCTCTGATTTCCAAAGGGCCTGTCTGAGCAGCAGAGGTCTGGAGGGCTGAGTGCTCCCATTTTGTTTGAGACCATCTGAAGTCACGTGTGGGGAGGAGAAGCTGCAGTTGTCTCTATCAGCTGCATAAAAGAGCAAGAACATCAAAATAGCAGTGACTCTCACAACCTCTAATGGGTTAACCACTGATAGATAATCTTAGCTATAGTCCTGGATGACTTAAGTGCTGATACCTGCCAACCTAATGATTCCAGGTGAGTGATAACCAAGTAAAGTATTATTGAAGATTTACAATGGTTTAGAGTGAGAGGCTTCAAGTGGGGAGGACATGAAGAGTAAGAATGAATTTTCATGGGGTCTCCGTACTGGAAAAGAAGTTGATTTATTCCAGACTGTGATAGTGCTGGGTATCTTGATATAATTTAAAATCTCAAATGATGTGTTCATTGCTGGCAGGATTGTTGACAGACCTCATTAGGATTCCGATCTGATCAAACGCCTTTGCCGATTCACAGCTGCATCTTTGTCACACCTAAATTATCCGACCTGAGTTGCCTGAGACAGCACCACGCTGTCGTCAGCCTGATCTCAGGCAGCATTAATGATGACCACAAAGTCACCAAACTAAATGTTTGTTGACACTGAAATCTTCTGACACCCTCTCACGAGGAAGGGGAAATGAAGTAAGAGTTGCTTTTGGATGTTAGAAGCATGGCTGGATCTCTTACCTCAACCCAGAGGAAGACACAGAACAGCTCCAGGTATCTCTGATACTCCCAGCATGGAAGGTCACCAGTCATGCTGATAGAGCCTGGGGTATAACCGTTGATAGGAAGTAAAGCGTTGAAGAATAGGCTTATGAATTCTACTGAGTGGAAGGCAATTGAGAAAACCAGATTTAGAAAAGCTCCTCCTGCTGCCAAATTGGGACATATTTGTATACTGTCCCTCATCCCCTCCCAACCAGGAAACACAGAAGTTACCACCAGAGAATGTAGACCCTTGTCTATACGCAGGGTTCTACAAAACAAACCTGACTAAAACTGTTGTCTGCCATTATTTTCCCCATGTATTTGCCTCCCCATAATTTCCCATTTACAAAGTCATTTTCCTCTGTTGTCAGTTATAAAACACCAAGAACAAAAGAAACTATTGTTCCTTAGTTAAGATTCTATTAGCCCAAGCTGTAACTGCCCCTTTGAGCTACTCATGTGAAATCTCCATGTGAATGTAGAAGGCATGTGTGTTCAGGAAAATCGCCACTTCTTTATTCTCTCACTACCCCACACACACTTCAGAAGAACTTAGAAACATTGTTTGACCGCTGGTCACAATGTGAACCTTTTAAAAGAACCCTTGGAAACATGAAGTCTAAGAGAAATTGCAGCCACCATTGGACACACTGGCCACTGGCCTGCAGGAGCTGCAGACGAGGGCGTGAGGGTCAGGGCTCTGGACAGAGAGGCACAGGAAAGCTGATGTAAAAGTAAAAGAATCACTGAAATCTGTGATAAAATTTATCACAGAAAAATAGAAGTGAGAAAAAGGAAATTAGAAGAATAAAATGCCTTCAGTGAGTTTGTAGCTGATGACAAATTATTCTAATGATTGGGGATAACTCAATACCAATTTTATTAGAATAGTGGAATGACATTTCAAGACAAACAACTCAGGTGGGTAATTCTTTTCAAGAAATTTCATTATATCAATGCAGCTTCTGGACAATATAGAGGTTACTTTCCATAATGCAGTAAACTTTTGACTCTTGGAAAAATACTAACATTCTCTTCTATGTGTTTAATCATTATGCGCATGTAATTTCAAATGTAGATTTCCTTTTGGGGTGAACAAGTATGTATTTCCTTTAGTCCATCAGTGTATCAATGTAAATCCATGCAGTGAACTCGAAAAAAATCTTGCATTGTTTTGCACGATATTTTGGAAAGGAGGGAATTTTCAGGTCTCTCATGTTGAATGAAAAAATGGTTGAATCTGAATGGAGGGAATGAGAACTGTTGAAAGGAGGATTCTTAGGTAGGAGAAAAACTGCCTCAGGGTACATCAAACTCACAAGAATTTTTACCTCCTAAAAGATTAAAGCCAACGAGACCTTTCACAGACTTATCAAAGTCCAAGCATTTATAACTGCAAAAGTTTAAAATGTTTACTGATGCAAGCAAACCCCCAAGATTGTCATTGTACTTCATTTTAGGACAAATGGGCACTTTCTACACAGCAACAGCAAATCACTCAGATGTCAGGATTTTTTCCTAATAAGAACTGAAGATTTGAGGTTGTTTTACTTGTGAAAATTAATCATGGAAATAAAATAGATTAAGTAGTTCTCAGTGGTCATGTCTTCATATTAATTAAGCTCATATAAATGTGACAGTGAAACTTGTGGAAAGAAAATGAAGTCAATTGCAGAGTCAGGTAAAGGGTCTAGATTTTCTTTTTTTAATTTAATTTTTAAATTTTAAACGTTTGTTTTCTTTCATTGTTCATTTTTGTAAAATATTTGATTTCTCAGGTGTAATCCTCATAATTCTTCCACCATCACATCACCCTGGGAACCATCACCATAGTTCATTATGCTCCTCTCTCCTTTTTTTTTAATTAATTAATTTATTTATACAAGCACTGGGTACAGTCAGAAGCATGGGAGGGTAAGAGAATTCACCAGAGCCAGAGGGGAGAGCAGAGCAGGCGGAAGGACCGAAGTACACTGCTGAGGGGAGCAGCGGGCGGCAGGAGAGGTCTGCGCGCCATGTGGGTCCTCTCCCGGTCGAACTGGCGCTGCAGAGGCTGT